AGGGTGGGTGTGAGTGTGGGTGGCTCTTCTTTACCTTAACCATCCTCAAGTCAAAATTAAATAATGGATAATTTATGAAAATAAATAGAAATTCTGTTTTATTTTACTATCGATCGCATTCATTAAAATAATTATTTTTAATAGATTAATGATGAAACTGATCGTATTTATTTATGAACATAAAAGATATGTAATATATTAAGTTTTCCTTATCGAAAATTATTTGAGTGAAGTTTTTTATAGTTCAATATTTCAAATAATTTTAGCTTGTTCTAATTTCATAAATATATAACCAGCTGTAATACCAATAAAATATTCTGTCCAATAAAATGATCGAAAAATAGCATTTACGAATATTAATAAAATAATCATATATCGATTGTCGACAAATAAAGCAGGAATAAATACTGTTGTTCCATTAGGATTTTTATAATTATTATATAAAAAAATTATATAAAATACGAAAGATTCCGATAAAAGAGATGTTTGTAATGGCTTTACTATAGATAAAAATAATATCATTACAATACCAAATAATAAACAAATAAAATATTTTTTTTGATTATTTAAATACATATATTCATATTCTAATGATTTAGAATATATTACAAATAAGACTAATTCATACCAATATGATACAGATAATATACCACCAAAATATAAATATGATATTAATTTTGTATATATAGGAGTTGAATAAAAATAATAAATATAAATGAAAAATGATGGCCAAAATGTAACAGTAATTCCCGTTATTAAATAAATAAAAAAAAGTCCTTTTGTAATAAATGGTAACTCAGAAAACCATTGTTTAAGATACATCATAATACCAAACTATTTCGAAAATTGTGTGTTTTAAACCAACGTTATACCAATGGTTAATGCTATTTCGTAGTATGTAGACGACGTATGTATTCGAAAAAAATACCCACGTTATATAGTTGCAATTTACTTGCTGATTTTTTATTTTTTTTCTCTTCACACACAGAAAAGAACAAGAATCACGATGTTTACTTCCGAGCACTTAGACAGAGCATAGAGTAACTACAACTATAATATAATACAGAACGAAAAAAAATTTATATACAGCTGTAAGTATTCTTGTTAGATAGTGATGCATCCTTTTTTTTGTCGTTCTTGGGATTTTTCCCTTGTCATGTATCATGAAGCTCTTCCTTTCGCATGACATATATGTAGTATTCTCTTTTCTCTTATTATAATCTCAAAGGTAATACTCCCGTCTCGTTCGTCATCATCTACAGAAAAGAGGCATTCATGGCGGCGCGGCAGCGGTTGGGTTTTAGAAAGTTTTTATTATTTTTATGAAACAACTCCGTATTTTTTTAGATTATAGTTTTACGATGATTCAGACTGAAAAGCGTCTTCTTTTCTCAACGCATTTGCATGACTAATACATCGTCCAACCAATATAAAAAAAGTTTTATAGACTATATTATTCCTGCCACCGCGATGAACATTTCTGTCTTACTAATGTAATTAAATATTTACCTACTTTATCATTTATAGTTGCTCAATGAATAAAATGATTTGATATCTGCTTACGTTATTATATCGTAAATTAACTAAAATTTTCAATATATTTCATTTCAGTCGAACTATAGCATATCAGTTTCTTTTCATCTTATCTCTATAATTGAATGGAATATTTCGATATATTCTTGTTTATTATTGAACATATAAAATTTATGAAAATAAATTCAAGGCAAATCTAAATTGTTAGCGAACTCAAAGAATTTAATCAATAGAATGATCTTTTCAAAAATTTATTCTCAACAATATATATATACTTACTTTAGGGGTGTGGGTAAAGACTGATCTTTTCTTTATTCATATCCACACTCTCATACAGATCAAGAAAAAGCAGTGACGACTCATTTTGTCCGGAATTTTATGCTTCTTAAGATCAAGTAGGGTCCCGTATTATATATCCATGTTTTACCTATATTCACATTCATCATTAAATTTTATGGAATCAATAATTAATGTTCTTTTCGAAAAATTGTTTGAGTTTAAACTTGGTTTGCTGTGTGTTTTTTTTGATTTTACAATTCGATCGATAGAAATGAATCAAATGAATTCACTCAAAATACTTAAGAGAAAGAAAAAGAAGCATTATCATGCCTGTGTGTCTACTTACATAGCATCACATACTCTGTGAAGAACAATTTCTATTGTGAGTCGCTAAGAAGAAAAAAGCAAATGTATGTTTCTATAATTTTTTGCGATATACGTCTATTGATAGTGTGGGAGATGAAACAATAAATATTGTTTTATTTAAGAGTAGTAGGTGAGCAGAATGATTGTGACGTTATTAAAGTCTTTTTTTACTTTCTTTCTATTTTATTCTAATGTTTCATTTATATTTACAGCAACACACACTATAATAAACTTTGCTAAAAAACAAATGTCCATACATAATCACAAACTCTTTCATATACATATGTTTATGATTCTTAAATATCTATATCATGATTTTCTCTATATAGCTTTGTCGCGAAATAAGAAATAAGTGCATTTGATTGAATCAGACTGGACATCTCGAGATTTTTTATTACAAAGATATTTTCAAAATGAATCGAAGCGAAAACGATCTTTGAAATCATACTTAATTTTCAGACGAAGGCGTTAAAAAAGTACGATTGATTTTGTCATCATTATCTTAAGAAGTATAATTATGAAATTAATTAACACATCTAAGAAGTAATAAAAAATCATTTTACTGTAGAAATATTTGAATGAAAGAAAAATGAGGATATTTTCATTTCCATTTAGTTCATAAAATATTCTTCTCCTCATAATTCAATCGTAATCGAACAAGTGAACAGTAGATCATTTGGAAACATTCAATTCTTTATGCAGTCATATTATGTGGATCAAAGTAATAAATATTTTATTGAAAAATGAGGTATTACAAAAAAAAAGAGGAGCACACACTAGAACTATGGATTAATAAGTTTTTAAAGGATAATTTAAAGGATATAGGTAGTTCACATCTTCAAGGCACTCATCATCATACTGATTAAACATATAGCAAATAACATTATAATATTAGGATGCTGTTTGATAACACCACTCTTGACTCCTTGACCACTGCATGCTGCGTTCGAAGGACTGATTACATTGATGGTGTTACTATCGGAGCTAAGTGTGAGTGTATTATTGTCGGTCACTACCATCCAACCTGTATATCCATCTGTATGAGCGGTACCTGTGAATGTATTAACACCACCACATACACCATTCGTGCCGGAGTTGACTGTATAAGTATTTGCCGAAGCAGATGTTACTACTACCTGTCCACTCAAACAGCAGCAAGCTGATGTACTGCAAGTTGAGTCGGGTGTGTAAGTGCCAGCCCATGTCTGTGATTGAACTGTGCCAATAACAGATGTGACCAGAAATAAAAATACTGTTGACTGCATACTTTTTGTTTTTTTGACGATGAAGATGCTAGAAGACTAAGTAACTGAATTTGTTTGATACCAGTCATGGTTTTTATATATCTCATCTGACTGTTTCTCCTCCATTCTCTCTCCCCCACACTTCATTATTTGTTCGAAAAGAAAAAAGAAAAAACAATAATTGCTTCCAAAGAAAAAAGTGTACAGCAATGCTCTTATTTTGTTTTTCTTCTTTCATAAACATCACAGGCTGATGTCTTTCTTGAGAGAGAGTGTGTAGGAGAGAAAGTGGTCTGTGTTTATGTAGCTATTGATACAAACTTATCCAATTCATGACAATAATACCACGCACACTCCGTTAAAAGTACATTTATATTCTAATGCTTAAAAAAAGTTCGTAAACATTCTTCAGATATTTCGACGATTGACGTCAGTCAACAAATATAACATCTCAAAACTAAACTAATACAATGAAACTACATTTAACTGCATAATGTCTGGAATGATCGTGTTAGCTTTTGTAATAAAAAACAAGCCAAATATTCAATTCATAAAACAAACTATCACTTTCTGGCAAACAGTAAAGTATATAGACTGATTCTTTCTTATCCATAAATTAAAATGTAATTTCATTTTTTTCGAAAACTTTTTACAAGTTTTGAACAGACAGCTGTTGATACATTACGAGTATCACTTAAATAATTTATATGATTGTTGTTCGAATTCATCATATTATCTCAATTCTACTCATGAATCCGAAAGAAATATGATGTATTATTTAATAGACATTTGATTTGATAGATAGTTTATCAAAAATACTTTGAAGTAATCATTATGGATACTTTCGGTAACATTGGAACAAAGGAAAATAAAAAAATTCAAAAAGTTTTGAGAACAATCTCTAAATTACTTTATATTTTGTATGCAATCAAACAATAACTCATTTAGACACATCGATGAAGTGATGAATTTAGTCGTGATTGTGCATACGATTATTTCTCATCTCTAGCCATATATTGGTTATAAAACAAATTTTAAATAACTTATATGCAATTCTTTTTTTGTTTTCATTAGAAGAAATGTGTTGAGCAAATTCGACTGTTTAAGCAATCAATTTCTTTGTTTCTTCTAGAGAAGAAAAATATTTTTTGCATTTCTGATCATTGTAATATGCATGAAGAAAGAAAAAGAATAATTCGCAACTCATGCACATATTTTTGTCCTTAAAATGCGTCTGATCGCGTTTCATATAAAGCCTAAAAATTTTGAAAAATATATGATAATCTATCTTAGATTCCAACTGAATTGCTACCAAAAACACACTTCGATAGTCTTAGCCTACGCCGGCAAATACATTGAATTTTATCTTAAACGATGATAATCAGAAGTCGTTCATATAGAACACTAAGCTATATTACCTCGAAATCCTTTTTCATTTAAAACAAAATATATTAGAATGTGAATTTTACTGATTAAATATTTTATTTTCAACGCTAGGATATTTAATTCATAATATGATTTTTCAATTATTTTTTAATAAAATCATATATCTGAATAAGTATAATTATCGAATTATTTTATGAAATTTAAATAAGTATTAAAAAGCTAGATAATACGACGATGAATTTTAATTCTAAAAATTTATAATATTATTAATGAAGTTTATAAAAAAACGTTTTACAAGGCAATCGAGACCGATAAAAATGACTTGTGTACAGTTTTGGAAATATTCAGTACATAAGCGACTGCCACCTATTCATTACTTTTTCCTATTTCGTTAAATCGAACAAGAATGAATGGTAAATTTTTCACCTATTACTTTTTTTCCCGTTCTGTACTGTGATCAAAGTAAAAGAGTATCGTTTCGTTTTTATTATCATCACAAGCGCAATCTCTGATGAAAATCTGCTCGTTAGAAGAAACACGTGAGTATCTTGTTGCTTGTATACTTGTATTTCGAATGTGGTAATAAAATCCGTTTTCTTTTCTTTTTTTTTCTTTATAAATTATGCACTGTCACGCATACCATATTTCTCTACGAAAACGAAATTATATCGCTAAAGGTGTAAGGGTATAAATGAGTATTCTCTTTATGCACACCTTCACATTCTATAAAAATATTTTTTTTTTAAAAGTAATTACATTCGTATAGCCCATTAAGCCGCCTATTATGTTCGATATACGAAGTTTCATTTATACTTATATATTGCCAAAGAAAACTAAGTATAGTAGAAGTATCCCAATGCTGAGATTCTCACAGATTTGATCTATCCAAGATCATCAAAATTAGGTTCTTTATTGTCTTGTACGTCTGAAACAAAAAATTGAGTTTATAGGAATCTGAAAATGAGGGTATCTTCATCGTACTAAATTTTCTTTGGCAACACATATATATAGAGCGTGGTAGAAAATTCGATTGACGTTTTTAAAATATAGGTTTTAATTATTTTTTTTCTCGAGGTATATATCTATACATACGTACGTAAAAGTAATGCATCTACGAAAAGAAATTTATTCAAATATATGCATACACTATCTTTATGGTCTCTTGTACTTTATGGTAATAATTCTCAATCAACAATTGACAATAGCACGTATGTTACTCATAAAAAAAACTATTTTATTTATCATACTTAAATAGCATTATTCTTTTGAAGAACTGCGTTGTCGTTGTCTGCCGAGTAATTTGTCATGTTGGCCAAATACAACTGCTTGGCAAATGTTCAATGCATCTATTGATGGTCGTCTAGTCCTACCTCAACCATCAGCTGCTGTATGTAATGGAAAAACATATGATGCTGCAGCTTGTAGTGTAGCCACTGCTCAATGGACAAATGCAACATGGCGTAGTGATCAAATTGGTGCAATGCAAATTACTAATTGGGAGAATAGTTCCTGTTCAATTCTCTTTAACAGCTCAACATGTAATCAAGGTTCTGTATCAGTTCTGGGTGTTGATGCAATATCGGCCGCACATGTTCAAACAACTGTTCGATTCGCTGCAACTATTAATCTTCGCTTAGCTATTAAAAGTAGTGGGCATGATTTTTTAGGTCGATCGACAGCAGCTGGATCTCTACTTTTATGGCTCCATCATATGAAAAACATGACAATGATTGATCAATACTCATCCTGTGGTCTCGCCAATGTATCAAATGCTGTTCGTATAGAAGCAGGTGCTCAATGGAGTGACGTCTATCAATGGTTAAGTCAATTCAATTTAGTAGCAATTGGTCCAGCAGCAGGTACCGTAACTGTAGTTGGTGGTTACCTTCAAGGTGGTGGACATAGCCCACTATCACGTTGGAAAGGTCTGGCTGCTGATCAAGTACTTGAATACGATGTTGTAACTGCAGATGGACAACGACAAACGGTAAATGCATGTCAAAATAGTGATTTATTCTGGGCATTAAGTGGTGGAGGTGGAGGTACTTTTGCAATTGTACTTTCAGCTGTTATACGAACTTATCCATCGCCATCTATTGTTGTTGCAACATATTCAGTCAATGCAACAAATGTAACTCGCTATGCAACATTGATGGAAAGCTTCGTCGGTAGTATACCACAGTTAGCCGATGCCGGTGCGACTAGCTATTTTAATATAGGCGATCTGACAATTAGTGTTTTAGTTCATATACCCAATGGAGATTCGAATGTACTGGATGGTATAATAAATCAATTTGTCGCCAATAATAGTGATTTAAATTTCACAATCACCAAAAGTTTTGTTCTTCCATCGTTTTATGCATACTTTGCCGCTCTATTAGCACCGAATAATCCAAGTGGCTACAATCTTTTAGTGAGCTCACGATTCATTCCGGAAAGTATAATTCGAAATAATTCACAAATAGTTGCAGCAGCCTTTGTTCAAGCACAAGGTCAGAGTACAATTGGATCAAATCTTCGTGGAAGTTTAGTCGCTGGAGGACAAGTATCAAATACAACAAACAGGAACAACAGTGTCAATCCTGGTTGGCGTACAGCTCTTCTTAGTATGGCTTACACTCAAACTTGGTTAGATACAACATCCCAAGTTAACCAAGACAACTTATCTACACAAGGGTTACTTCGAGGAGCGATGTTAGATACAATACTACCTGCTGGTGTACAACCAACATGCTACACTAATGAAGCTAATCCATATGAAGTGAATTGGCAAGAGAAATTTTATGGTTCGATAGTTATTTATAACCAATTGAAAAGTGTAAAAGTAAAATATGATCCATTCGGACTCTTCCAATGTACAACATGTGTTGGTAGTGATGATTGGACATCGGATCTCAATTGTCCAAAAACGTCGAATTCTAACAAAATTAATTTAACAATATTTTTTTTATTTGCAGGAATATTTGCAATATTATTATAAAACATGACATTCAATTATTATAGCAACTGTTTCTTATTTAATTTTTCTCTATTTTTTGTTTTTTTTTATATATATACGTGCGTTATCATGTCTAAGTAGTTAGAATAAAAAGAAAAAATACATGTTTATGCAAGTCTCTGAAAGGAGGATCGTTCATTCAGCCGATTTCAGTGGATGACTCTTCTCGATTGCTTGTGTTCGAAAATGTTGAAGTTCCTTGCATAATTGTGCATATGCGTCATCGAACGTTGTTTTAGTAAAATCAATATGATGTCGAAGTCCGACCAGCATTCCTAACCAGCCTGTTTGTGTGAAATCATTTTTGACAACAAGAGGTATTAAACAAGCTTGATATTTAAAAGCATATTCTGCTTCAAGTTGACAATATGAAGATGATTTATAAGCATTAGACATCAATAATAAGACAAATTCTGAGTTTTCAATTGATTCAGCCATTCTTTCAACGATTGGACCATACATATTTTCTACATCCATCCATACACGAAATTTATCTTCAAGCAAACGATAATAAATACGATGACTAAGTTCTTTATCTCTATGAGAATAAGAAATCATAATATCATACTTATGTGCTTGTGATGGTATAAATGTTTGAGCGGGTGATAACTTTCGTTCACGATCAAGAGATAATTGA